AAACAGAAGTCATCCTATATGCATTACACATATCAGATCCCATATGGTTCTTCCAGGCCCACTAGCCCAAGGCAATGATGAGATTGACTGTTTATTAATTGGATGTGTGGTAGAAGCCTCAGAATTTCATAAGAAACATCATGTAAATAGCAAAGTTTGAAAAAAGGACTTCTCCATTACTTGGCAACAAGCCAAGGAGATAGTGAGAAACTGTCCTACTTGTTCCTTTTATAATCAAACTCCTTTGCCAGCAAGTTGTTATCCCAGGGGCATTCGGGGAAATGAGGTTTGGCAGATGGATGTCTTTCACGTTGCAGAGTTTGGAAATTTGAAATATGTGCATCATACTATAGACACGTTCTCAGGGTTCCAATGGGCTACTGCTCTTAACTCTGAAAAAGCTGATTCTGTTATTACACACATGCTATAGGTGATGGCAGTTATGGGTATACCTGCACAAATAAAAACTGACAATGCTCCAGCATATGTCTCCACAAAATTGGAACAATTTTTCAAATATTATAACATAAATCATGTTACCAGTATACCACACAATCCTACAGGACAAGCAGTGGTTGAGAGATCTAATAGAACACTTAAGGAGATGCTCAACAAACAAGCTTGGAAGACCCACAAAACATAGGTTGCATAAAGCTTTATTAACACTAAACTTTCTTAATGCCAATGAGAACAGACAAACTGCTACAGAAAGACACTGGAATATGGAGAAAACTGCTGAACTGAATCAGCCAGTATACTTCAAAGATCTACTAACCTTTGTATGGAAACCAGGACATGTGTTACGTTGGGGTAGGGGTTTTGCATTGGTTTCTACAGGAGAAGAAAAACTTTGGATACCATCAAAGTTGATCAAGATTCGAGTTGAAAAGGAAAAACCCCTCGACGAGGAGAAATGATAGGTATTCTACTAAGTTATATCTCATAAACTAAATAGAAATCTCCCAAAGGAAATGGAAGTGTTTTGCTTTTATCTTCACAGGAAAACTCATCTCCAGAAGTCAAAGGACACTGCATGGGTAGACACTTAAGAAGAAAAGCTAGCTATAACCATGAAACTAAAGGTACGTGCCATATGGTAAACTTTACAAATGTCTCTCAGAGAACTCTATTTCTCTTTATTTCCTAGTCCCTATTCAATTAAACCAATGCTGAATTTAGGAGTGGATTTGGCTTTACTCCTCTAAAATCCAAGCATGGTGTTTAACTAAATTTTAGAGTTTCTGTATTGTATCAATAAGCCAATTGATGTAATACAGAATAAAAGAAGAATTTGGGGACTGTCTTGGTCTTTTCTTGGATCTGTCTTTCAAGGTGTACACCCTTTCGTAATTGTTATGCTCCCATGATTGCATTCCCCAGCATGTGTACATACACAAGCAAACATTTCTCTGCTAACTGTTTATGTTTGAGTCCCACACAGCCAATTAAGACCTGCCTGACAGCAATCCATGGACACCATGGAAAGAAAATGGGCTACACCTCCTCGATTGCACTGGATTGAACTTGCTCCATTTCAACTGACACTCCGGCCAGAGGTTCGGGTACTTACTTCAATCAAGTTGAGGATTTGAAGCGAGATCTTTAATCAAGCTTATTCCATCTAACATGGACTGGATACAATCCATTCAAGACTCTCACTATAATAACATTTTCTTTCTACAGGACCCCACAAGGCTCTGGTCATCCCAGTTCAGCAGGAAGTAACTTGGAGAATGCTATGTCCCCTTTCCCCATTGTTGTCACTTGGAATAGTATATATACCTAGTTAGGGATAGCTTCCTATTGTTTATGGTTGGGATTGGAAGGAGGTGTTCAGGCTTGGACACCTCTTTCAGATAACTTTAGGGTTTAGTTAAAATAGTATGTGACATGAGCAGATTGTTGTATCTTCTTATATTTCACCTTTATGATTCCTAATTTTGGATACTTTACACTCTTAAGTTTTAATCCTCTTTTAGACTAAAAGGGGAATTGTAGGGGAACCCATAGCCATGCCTGCTTAGCGTGGTCAGGGTGACATAGAGTGAGAGGGTCAGGGCTGCGTTTCACTTTGGTTTTCCCCCTTTCGGCGTGTGTACAGTCTGCTGCCACGCAGGCTGGCTAGGTTGCTATGTAAGTAAGGCTTTTTCCTATTAAATACCCTTATATTTCTACTTGGCTCTGTATTGGTAATTTCCCACTTTATTAACATATGGGAAAAAACTGCATTAGGTAAAGGAACAAAGCACAGCAGCAGAAGCTAAAATGGAAGATACCATGAGTAATAGAGCCAAGAAGCAGGGGGAAATTGAAGAGATGGAGATTTTAAGTGGAAATTTGTTCCCAGTGTAGTTTAAAAGTAGAATGTGAACAATGGCTTTCCTTTGTTACTAATATAAAGTACTAATTAATAGTACTTCTTGACAAGCAAAACTAAACTCAAACCCAAACAAAGAAAATGTGTTCAATCCTTATACAAGAATTTGAGCTTAGTAGCATTTAATGGTGTCCCAAAATATATTCCTTGTGTGCAATGTGGTTTATAATTCATAATGTGAAAATAACAAATTAACAGTCAAATTCCTTGAGAGATGCAGGTTATAAATGCTCACAGAGCAATTATAAATCAACTATGTCTCTTTCTATTACAAAAAGTATATCACAAAACATTGAATGCCTAAATAATTAAACATTCAATTTTAATGACCTGTCTCAGAAATAGGTAAGAACAATACTCAACAATAGCACCCTGAACTAACAAACAAACAGAACCTCTCAATTTGTTTCTTAAATCTTAGCTAGCATTGCTACTAGTACTTGAGGATAGTAGTAGAATAGTTAGGGACTATTCCCTGCCGTGAACAAAGATACACAAAAATTCAACAAAAACTTAGATAATTGAACTCAGACATGTATAAAATAAACCATGGGCAATAGGGAATATCAAAATGATTTCACACTTAAAAAATAATGCACCTTTTCCCAGAAAATGAAAAAAAAGAAAAAACCTACACTTTGTTACAAGTGTAAAACAGTACATTTGACTATGTTTAATGCCATTCCTACTGTCATACTTAATAAACTTAAAGTAAGGAGAAACTTAAGATGTCAAACATTTTATACAACAGACACAATATTTCCTTATAAATATACAGGAAAGTATTTTTTCCTGACACGGTGTACAAAACCAAATGTCTTTATTTTACTTTACTTTGGAGGTCAAGGTTTGACCAGGCAATCAAACTAACAAATAGCATCAGCAAAACCGAAACAACAAACTGATGTCCCACTTAAAATAATAAAGATTGTAAAGGGAGAAAATATATTTGGTTGTTATTTGAATATGACTATCATACTCATGAGACAGTTTCTACTATTATTATTAATAGGTAAATTTAGAAATATCACTGGATATGTATTTAATATACAGAAATAAATTATGTGTTTCTAGATTACATATCCAGAGAAGAAAAGTAAAATGCATTTCATTTACTGGAGTTTCAAAACACCAACTATGTTATATTAAGTCAAATAAATCCCATTCTGGATCTTTGTGATAAAAATGGGAAAACAGCACTAAAAGCTTAATAAACATTATTCAAGGAAACCTAGACAAAAGCAGAGGTATATTATATGTATCTGTAGATAAGGTGACTTGGTATTGAAAGATAATTAGCTGATCTACAAATTAAATAGAGTCCCAATCACTGTATAAGAAGGCTTCATATAAAAATTGACAAGACATATCTATACTTATTTAAATTAATGCAAAATACAAAAGCGTATCTGAATAAGAAGAGAAAACATATAGGTTATGCCACCAGATATCAACTGTTTTAATAATATAAATGTGTAAGTGTATGTATGTATGTGTTTGTGTGTGTGTGTGTGTGTGTGTGTGTGTGTTGTTCAGTCATACAATAAATTTCCAACACATGCATGAGCCTCAAAATATGCTAAGAAAACTTAATTAAGCACAAGGGGATACATGCTGTACTTTTTTACTTATACAAAATATATGAACTAAGTAAATCAGAGATAGTAAATGGAGAGGTTATCAGGGAGTAAAGAGAACAACTCTTCCATGGTTTTTAGAGTTTTGATGTGAGGCTATGGAAAATTTTAGGAACAGATGATGATTATGATGATAGTTGTAACCAATGCCAATGATTTATATAATAAATGCTTACTTGACAAATTTGGTGATACAGATGTTTTATGGAGGATTTTAAATAATAAAGAAAAACTATCCACTATAAATTTTAAATAAATGAAATTTTATGACACAGTTAATTGTATATCAATGAATAATATAAATACAACAAAAAGAGTATAATCTGTCATTGAGCTACTGTTATTCTGGTTGACAAACAAAATGTAAGCAGATTCATACATGGATAGTCATTTGATTCATGGCAGAGTTGTAACTGTTATATAGTAGAAAAATGTTTCCTTTGAATAAATACATGCTGCTAGGTAAAAAGAATTTGGATTGCAATATAAGTTTTTGTGTATAATTTGGTTTTATAAATGTATTAAATTGATAAGCATTTTATATTTTACATCAATCTTAGAATGCATCGTAGGTGGGAAGACAAAGGCTTGCAAGTAAGGTAACTGGAAATCAATTACCTTTGTGAGAATACTAATATGCATTATAAATTACATCTATATTCCAGGTCTTAAACAATAATTCTGCACCGCAATACTTGCTGAGCTTGAACACCTCACTTCAAGTTAATTGCATTATCAATGTTTAAACCTATGGTATTACTTTTCAAAAGTGTATTGGTCCTTTGATCATTAATGCAAAGTCATCCACTATAACAAATTATTTTCCTTTTATAGCAAACTATACAGCCAAATCAGACAGTCAGGTTACAATCCCAAACAATAATTCACACTTCTGCTTCTTTCCAACCAAATACTCGGGAAACAACAAAAACACAAACACTTGTAACACTTAACACATGTGACAGGGAAGATGGTTAATGTCTAACCTTTATCCACTGGAGATTTGTCTGTTTGAGCTTATTTTCAAGTTTATCTTGCTCTTCTGGTCTTATGGGAGCACTTACAAGTACTGCTCTCCCTGTTTCATTTAATTGTTTTAGAATTCCTTGGCGCAGGGGCAACTCTTCTGCCAGCAACTGGAACAGACAAATACAGCATTTAAAATGAATTACAGTGCAACTCCAACTACTTCTGTGTCGCCTTTATTGATTAGTCTATCAAAGTGAAGTAACATGACTGAAGGTCCACTGGCACCTGAAATACCAAATACTTCCACAGAGTGCAGAGCTGATGGGCTGAAACATCTGCATCCAAGTAGACAAACCTCCCTAGATATGACCACTTTATTTTACTCTATTGAGAGTGTTTTAAATGAGAAATGTTAGATGAGATGTTGAGCTCTAAAACAACATAATAAGCAGTCATCCTAAAAGTGTAGGCTTTATCAGAAACAGAGCAATGCGAATTACTCCATCATACATTCAGGTATTTTAGTGTGCCGTCATGTAGAATATCATCCCCTCTCTTTACATATATTATCTCAGTTCATCTATACATATGGAAAACAATAATATGAAGTATGAATGATAATAATAATAATAATAATAATAATAATAATAATCTGGAGAAGTTATTGTCATTTGCATAGACAAAAGGTGAGACAGAATATTTAAATATAAGCTGCAAGGTCTAAAGTCTAATAAGTAAAAGAGTAGTAATTCAAAAAGTGTATTTCACCCTGCAATTTAAATTTGTGATCTTCTATTTAGCATCAAATTGTTACTCTCATTTCCCCAAGATCAAGAAACCACCATGACATTTATAACTACATCTTATTTAGAACTGCAGCATCCAATAGAGTAGCTACTAATTTTTTTTAGAAAGTTTTAAATTTCTTCAGTTGTTCATACAAACCAATTTTCAAAAGACACATAGAGTTAATGGATACAGAAACAGGTAATGAAAACCTTATCTATCTTTATAGAAATTTCTCTTGGATGATATTATCTAGGTTGTCCAAGGAGAATGGAAAAATCAATGCACATTTATTCATAAATGAATGCTGCCAAATATGTCCATAAAATATACTATCAATTATGATATTTCATATGACACTCAATACATTCAGGAAAGATCGCTTTCCAAGAATGGACTATGCTTGTTTTTCCCTCCAGTGGTGCAATGGCCTACAAATGCCTCACAAAATTCTAGTACTGAATTGTCAAATATATACTATCATATCTGATATATAGTGAATCTTCAATATTTGTTTACTGAATTATGAAGCTATTTTCCTTTGTGCGCTATGCCATTATAGGATGTAATTTTTAAGTTTTTTGTGGTAGTATTTCTTTCTTTTATTTTTTTATTTTTTTTTCATTTTTTATTTGAATTACAAACAAAATTGAATTACATGACAATCCCAGTTCCCTTCTCCCTCCCTTCCTCCCCTACCACCCCCCCAACTAAAACCCTACCTATCACATACCCTTTCTTCTAATGTACACCTGACTCAACCTTTCTGCTCCCTCATGACCTCTGAATCATTCCGCTTCTTCCCTTCTCATTCTCGTAGTTCCCTGCCATAATTTTAAGTTTTGTTTCACAGAAATAGAGTTCATTTGAAGCATAACTTGCTTGAGTAAACCAACTGAATCATTGATAAACAATTCTATTTCCATTTTATTTCATAAACATCTACAATGACAGAAATAACTAGTTATAAAATTCCATATGAAGATTAAATAAATTTGGAGTTATAAATAAATCTCATAGTTGACACTGATATATTATTAATTTTAATTCTTCTTTCATTCATGCATTAAAATAATACATTTCCAAAAGTTTTCCTTTTATAAAACTATTAGAAAAATTAAATTATCTGTGCAATTAGGTCACATCAATGAGCCAGGTGAGGTAATAGCAGATATCATAGCATGTCTATTTAACCAATATGGAATGTGATCCACTGTGACAATTTCAATATTCACACAAAATTAGATAAAACTAAAGTCTACTTTAGATTAATCTAAAATCTTTAGCTAGTGGCTCAAGTAATGTTATTTATTTGATAATGAATATCTTCACAAAGAAATGTTCTTTTTTAGCGAGATTTACAGTCTTCATTTAGAACTAGAAAATTCTGAAACAAGTCTAAAATTAATTTCAAGAATTTTAAGTTAGTACTCAAAATAACTGTCATATGCTATGCATGTGTAAAGAAAATGTATGTTTCTAAACACACACATATGTATGTATGTATGTATGTATGTATGTATGTATGTATGTATGTATGTATGTATGTATGTATGTATGTATGTATGTATGCATGCATGCATGCATGTCTGCATGGATGTTGATTGGCAGTCATTTAGTAAAGAGGAATTAAGGCTGGGAGAAAACACATTGGGAAGAACTACAGACAACATCATAATGGACAGCAAATCAATTATTCAACACATTAAAATAGTTTTATATATGCTTTAAACAAATAGGCCCTGGTGGGTATTTTAGTACACAAAATTACCTTCACTTGTTCAAGCTTTTCTTTTAGCTGCTGCTCATTTCCAAGTGGAGTATTAGTAATATTATCTGCTACTTCCAACCACAAAACAAATTCATTTAAATCTCTTTGAAAGTCTGACAAGACATTCTTTTGTTCTTCAATCCTGTAGAAAGAATAATAAAAGTATGGTAAATAGCATACCTCTCAAGGTTTGAAAAAAAAAGAATCAAAGACATAGCAATCACGTTTAAGAAACTCACAATATAAGAGATATGAATAATATATAATTATCTTTAAGCATTTCATTTACAGCCTGGCTGTGGTGGCACACACCTTTATTCCCAACACTCTGGGGGCAGAAGCAGGCTGATCTCTGTGAGTTCTAGGCCAGCCTGGTCTACAAAGTGAGTGCCAAAGTAAGTCTCCAAATCTACACAGAGAAACCCTGTCTCAAAAAAATTTTCATTTACATTGAATAAGGTCAATATAATATTTCAAATACAATAAAAATTGGTCAGGAAATTGTTTTAAAAATCCCATTAGTTGTTACAGTTGAGGAAGGCTTCACTGTCTAGGCTGTGGTGGCACTCAAACTTAGAAAATTCTTGGTTGTGAGGGATGCCGTATTATACTGAAAGGTATTTAGTAGCATTTGTGGCCATGGTGAAAAGATTCTGAGTTGTGGTAAACAAAAATGTCATGAGTCCTAATATTTCCTCCTGGCTAGAGGTGTGCAAATTTTCTTTTCTAGGAAACTACTGCCGTAAAACAAATACATTATGTGAAGCTGCATGTTTTACAAAAGGCCTTATTGAAGAATAATTAACAACTTAAATGACAAAAGTAAAATCAAAAGGCATAAAATAAAACACTGGGCAAATGTTTCCAAACTTACACAGTCTTTTTAAAAAAGATATAAAATAAGAAAATGACTTCTAATTTATGATATCCTGGTGGATATTTTTAATTATATAAATGAATATTTTGTATGCATTTTACTTAGCCATGAATTCATTTTTAGATATTGGATTGGAATACTTATGGATGAGCAGAATGGTTCATAGTTAAAATGACTTACATTTGCTTTTGTCATCTTTTGGGATATTTAATGGAAGACTTTAATTGAAGTATAATATACATATAACAATGTACATATATAATTATATAGCTTGATGAAAATATAAAACTGAGACTCACTGTGTAGAGAAAGAAAGAAAGTTTTATAAAGAAGTACCCTGCTTCCTTCTCGTTATCGCTAACTTCAAATATATCTGGTAATCTGTCACCTGCATTATTTTGTAATGTAAGCATTGTACAAAGGTAATAATATCATATGTCATCCTTTATGTTTTGCATTTTTACACTAAAATTTAAGTTTATAATTCTACATAATTTAGTGTTTATTCATTCTCTTGGGTGTGTAGTAATCAATAATATTCAACATGAATATTGATGGCAATTTGGGTTGTTTCTATGGTTTTAACATTTACTTAATAATTGATATTTTGCATGAAGCCAATGAATGATTATTGATAATTTACTGCCCTCAAAGAAATTTATTGCTAGAAATCATAATATAATATATCCTATCTTGAGGATTTCCAATTGTGTGAGAAGTACCAATGTTTTATAGTAGTTTCTTTTATCCCCACAGTTTATTTTTTTGGCTGGGAATTTTGAACTATGTGTTTTTGTCCACCTTTATTTATTGAATAATATTTATCTATAAAATCTACTTTTCCTTTCCTCTTCTTAACTCTGAAATTTTCATATATTTCACTTTTTTCTTATCCATTTTTAAAGAAAGATATTCAGTACTTTTTATTATAACGACTATGCAAGTATTTAATGCTTACAGAATTCTTTACTTGAATTTTGTGCAAGATTTCCATTGAATTAGAAATTATCTTTTGGATTATAGAAGGATATTTTATAACTGTTCCAGTTTATGGGAAAGAAACTTTAGACATGAAGAAACATGAATTTTCATATGAATTCATAGCATTTGCTCTTTTACTTTTCAAAGTCTAAACTGAGTGGCCCTTAGGGCAGATTTGGTTTATGGTTTGATTTTATGCAGTTTCTGAAAAAAAGTACTTCATCTTTACCCATCTTTATAACCACTGGTCTCTTTGTTGTGTTCTTCAAAAACACTAGGCAGACTTGCTCTTCTCTCTGTCTTGAAAGTCTTTTTCTTCAACTTCAAATATGACTGCCTGTCACCTCAAGTAAGTTTTACATGAAAATCCTACTTGCAGCTGTACTCCCCTCAATGTTTCTATTCTTTCTCCCTGTTTTTGGCTTTCTTTTTAGTCCAGGAAATTAGCATGTTCCATCCTTTGGTTTTCCTTCATGTACTCACTGTCTCACACACATGAAATAGTACTACCTTAGTGAAGGCTTTGTATGTGGTTATTTGCTACTATAATGTTTGTTTTCTGACAATGTCTGGGATGGAACTGATGCATAATAAATATATGGTAAGTGCATAAATTAATGGGCCTATCATTCTTTTAAATTTTATTTGCCTTTCTGTCCTAAATGAATCTTTCCCATTCTTTCCAAATATGGAATGTGAAATGTTGCATAATTTGTAACCCCATTGTGTACTACAGTATTTCATTTAAAGACACATTCAACTAGAGGATATTAGGTACCATTATTTTGTATGCGAACAAATGGTGGTAGGTGGTATAGGGGGGAAAGCTGCCAATTAACATGACACCACATAAAGGATTGAAAAACAAAGACAACTTTTTGTCATATGCCTCACTTGGGTATATATAAGTAAAATATAAGTTAAATGACTGAATTATTACTAAATTGTTCCCCAGTTTTGAGTCTGGCTATCCTGCATCAGCTTGCCTTTCAGAGTATGGGGGAAGTGGAAATTTTTATTAGTAGAATTACTGCTACTATTGCCTCGATAGACCTTAATGGGGAAATAGATTATCTCAGCTTCTGGCAGTTTGCGTAAGAATGTGGGATAGCATTGTTTATTTTAAGATTTGGTCTTAGATTAGAAGCCTCAAATACAGAGCAAAATTTCAGAAGCTTCTAGTAACTCTCAAATTATGTGATTGCATACTTACACTCTTTTACTTTTTTCTTTTTTAAAATTATACATACTTTATTCTCATTCAGATTTACATAGCTAATTATGGCAAAACACTATAAATATTATTTACAAACTTTCTTCATTTAATATTCTACTGGGAATAGACTTGAGTTTAGTCAAGTCATAGAACACTTGCCTCACACACGTAGGGCATTGGGTTCAATCTCCATATGTACAAACACACAAAAATTAAACTTAATTGTCATAGGTTATTAATTACTCTGAAAAATATTTCCTAAGAGTGAGAGTGATAGTTCCTGGAGTTCTTTCTATGTTTTGGAGATTAGCCTTTTGTCAGATGTGTTGTTATTTTGATGGGGAATGCACTGAATCTTTAGATTGCTTTTGGAAAGATGGCCATTTTAGAGACGTCTGGCGACACCAACCCAGTCACACAACCCTTGACCTACAGTCTGTCCTGCCTATTGGATGTGCTGGGTGTAAGAGTGGTGCAGTGTTTGTGGGAGTGGCCAAGCAATAACTGCTCTAGTATCAGATCCATACTACAAGAATGACCCTACCCCTGAGATTGACTTGAGTGCCAGGACCCAGAAGCTGGATGGCCCATATGCCTAGTATAGAACCATACACAATTGGAGAAAACAGGTCAACATAATGATACCTATTGATATTCTGCTATCTTTAGAGTTCGGTGACTACCCCAATTTTTTGTCAGAGAGGCTTCAGCCAGTAACTGATAGAAACATATGCAGAGACTCACAGCCAAACATTAGGTTGAGATTGGGGGATCCTGCTGAAGAAAGGGAGGAATGGTTGTATGAGCTAGAGGGTTCAAGGGCATCATAAGAAAGCTCAAAGAAACAACTAGCCTGATTTTATAGGATCTCAGAGAAAACCAGGAAGCCTGCATGGGACAAACAAGACTCTCTACATATATGTGACAGTTGTGTAGCTTGGTCTACTTGTAGGACTCCTAATAGTGAGAGCAAGAACTGTCTCTAAAGTTTTGCCTAGCTTTTGGGAGTCTATACTGGGCTGCCTTGTCCAGACTTAATACAAGGTGAGATGCTTAGTCCTACCTCAACTTGTTGTGCCTTGCTTTGCCTCCATGGGAGGCCTGCCACTTTCTGAACAGAAACAGGGGGGTGGATTGCATGGGGCCAGTGGGACTTTGGAGATGGGAATGGGAGGAATGGAAGGAGGAGAAACTGTGGTCAGGATATAAAATTAATAAATTAAATTAAGAGAGTAATAAACTGTAAGTGGATTTGCCATGTTTCACCATTTCTTTGTTACAGGTATTTAGTTAATTTTTCATTGCAAAGCAACTTTACAACATATTTCTTTATTAATTTTGACACATGTACCTGACAGATTCTTTAGGATAAGAGAAAAGGAAAAGATATAAATCTTATGAATTTCAATATTCATTGTTAATTATTATTGTAATACTGACATTAAAGACACGAATGAATTATCACCAATTCAAAAACCCTATGTTCCCCACACTTTCACTAGTTTTAAATACTTCTTTTTATATTTTATACTAAGTAGAAAAATTACCATGAATATTATGTAGCTTCTGTTGATAAAAGCGCTACCATATTATTCATATAAAATTTCCCAAGGTTTCTATTGTCCACTTTCTACTATGCATTTCTAATTTTCTGTTTTTTTATTTGTTTTATGTAATTTTATATATTTGCATAAATGTTTATGGAGAACACATTTCCAGTTCTTTTTCATCTTTTAGACTGTTTTTGTCCTTGTTTGATTTTATTTCACAGTTAGATGTTTTAAAAATTGTATGTTATAATTATTTACATGTTGATTTTACTCCATATACATTTTTTTCACTAAAAATGTAAGTATTAATCTATCTTAAATGCATTTAGAATTAAGTTTCTTACTGTAGAGTGTTTCTAGAAATTAACATTATATCTTCTGCAAAATTAGTTCCATTGATTTATGAAACATTCTTTTATAATATTTCATACTACTAAGTTTTCATTGTTGAACAATAATTTATATGAGTTTTTCTAACAAAAATCATGGAATAATTAAAATACACTTTAAGGTGGCCT